ATCACTCTCAAGAAATCGGGTGGCAAGGTGGGAGGCCACGTTGACTAACCCTCCCATACCAGCCAGGGAGGAACTGGCTCCTGGTGGAGGCCTTCATTACACGGTGTGGATGACCCTAAATCAAATTAGGGTCGAGGTACCAAAATGCAAGACAAACATGCAGAAATGGGGTCTCTTACCAGACGAAGAAAACATCTTGTGCGTGTGTGGTGTTGTTCAGGATCCTGGCCATTTGCTGATCTGCCCACGCCTAGACCAGTCTTGCACATTAGATGATCTTTTACATGTGTATATTTGTGTATAATTAGCTTATATACACAAATATTTTTGTTTTGGATTATTGAAGATGCGTATTATTTAAATGACAATTGATAACAACGCTGTTTAAAGCTAATTTTTATATCTGTTTATGTCTTTTATTTTGTAGATATTGATAGAATGCGATGGCTACTATAGCGAGTTAAAAATTAGTAATTTGATTACTTAGTGTAGGAATGTGTGGATTGATTTTGTTACATTAGCTCTGTGAATTATTTTATTTAGATGATTTTTCGTGTCATATAACACAACTATGTCTAATGGCGAGTAATGGACGCACTAAGTTTGTCAGATATTAAAAACTGTAATAGAAAAGAGACACTTAACTGGTATAAACATTTAGGGCTACCTTATCCGGGAGACGCTGACATCGCCTATTTAAGAGGAAACCTTAGATTGTAAAACTTAAGCACGATAAAGATTCCAAACTATCTTACAATACAATACAATACAATACAATATTCTTTATTGTTAATTCGTCAAGAATTACAATAGTGTCAATACAATAGTGAATTGTACATGTTAATTTTCATAAAATTCCTTTATTGAGTAGAAGGGTCTTGCGATTAGCCACTTCCTTATTCCTGGTGTAGCTTGTTGCCAGTCAGGTCTCTCAGGTAGTCAGGTAGATGGTTCCTCAGCTTGCAGCCGGTGTAGGAAGGTTTTTTCTCCCAAAGAGTTGTTCGGTGAACTGGTAGTGCAAATTTGGAGCCATGACGGGTGTTGTGGTGGTGCAGGTCTCGGTTTCTTGGGGGGTTTATTTCATTCGCATACTTTATAGATTCAAGTATGTAGAGAGACACCACTGTGAGGATTCCTAGGTTTGCAAATGCTAGTCTGCAAGTCTGTGGTGGGACAAGGTTGGCGAGGGCTCTTATGGCTTTCTTTTGAAGGACAAGAATTCGATTCATATTTTTTGTTGAAGTTCCTCCCCACACTGTCAAGCCATATCTAAGATGCGACTCTACCAGTGCGAAGTAAGCTGTTTTGGCCACGGAGAGTCCGCCTATGTAGTTTATTCTTCTGACGACATATATTCCAGTACTGATTTTTTTGCTTAAGTGGTTGATGTGCTCTTTCCATGTTAGTTTATTATCAAGGATAACACCGAGAAATTTTGTGTGGTTTTCTATTGTTATATCCTCTAATTGAGGGACTATGTCTTTTTTCTTACTGAAATTCAGAGTTGTAGTTTTTGTGGGGTTTATTGCTAAGTCATTGTTCTTTGAGTAGAGGATAGCTTTATTTAGAATCGATTTTGAATTAAGGTAAAGGTTTTGGGCTGTGTTGACCTTGATCAAAATGGTTGTGTCATCTGCATACATGATTGCAACAGCATTTTCACTCTCAATTTGTTTGGGGAAGTCATTAGTCAATAAGATGAATAGAATCGGGCCTAATACAGAGCCTTGTGGAACTCCTCTCGTCAGCTTGCTTTTTGAAGATTTGAAACTTTCTGTGACTTCATTTGATGAGTTTTTCAGTTCCACGACTTGTGAACGTCCCGTTAGGTAGCTTTTGAACCATTCTAGCGCAGAGTTTCTTATACCGAGTCTTTCGAGTTTCTTGCATATCAGGTCGTGGCCCAGGCAGTCAAAAGCCTTACTGTAATCAAGGAAGATGGCGGAAATGTATTGTTAGTTTTCTATCTGGTCTAGGACGTACTCAATTAGTGCTGTTATAGCTGAGGATGTAGATTTATTTTTCCGAAAGCCATGTTGGCTGTCAGTTAAGAGTTTGTTATGATTAAGATGTGTCATTAATCTAGCCAGAGCAATTTTTTCTATGATTTTAGAGAAACTGGAGATGAGAGAGATGGGCCTGTAATTTTGAACATTTTCAGTTGGTCCTTTTTTATGTTTGGGGTATACTTTACTGACTTTTATGGCGGATGGGAATTTGCCTTCTTTAAATGATTTATTTATAAGATAAACCAGAGGAGAGATGAGTTCTTGAGAGCAGTGCTTTATCATCTTAGAGGAAAACTCATCTATTCCACTTGATGTTTTGGCTTTTAGGGAGTTTATTATCGTTTTAACTTCTTTATAGGATGTTGAAGTTAGGGTAAGGTGTATTGGGCAGACTGGTTCCTCTCCATTCAGCACTGTTTCAGGGTCTATAACGATTGCTCTGTTTTGGTCAAGGGTATTTTCTGCTATATTTGAGAAGAATGTGTTGAAGTGTTCGGCCATTTCTTTTGTGTCGTTTGTGAGTTTGCCATTTATTTCTAATTCTGTAAGGGTTTTCTCTTCACATTTTCCTTTCCTTTCCTTGTTTATAACTTGCCATAGAGCTTTTGGTTTGTTGTCAGCTTGTTCTATGAAGCTAGCTGTTGAGGACATTTTTAGGTTTCTTAGTTTCATGTCGTATATCCTTTTTCTATTAATCATTTCTAATTTGTCTTCATTTCTGTTCGTTAACTCAAACTTTTGCAGAGCTTTCAAAAAGTTCTCTTTAAGGTATTTTGCTTCAGGATCGTAGTACTTCATATGTTTTTTGTTAGTACTAATTTTAGTTTTCTTTAATGGGCATGTATAATCCAGTGCTGTTTGAAGAATATTATGAAATTTGTTGTAGGAGGTTTCAAGATTCGGTGAAGAGTAAACATGTTCCCAATTTTGTAGATGGAGGTGAGCCTTTAGATTGTTTAGGTTTGTGCTGTTTAGGCTTCTTTTCATTACAAATCTTTGGGAAGTGTCTTCTTGGTGTGTTTTCAGCAGGCACAGCTGCGCAGTGTGGTCAGATAGACCAGTATGCACAACTTGTCCAGTAATATACGCATATGGTATGTTTGAGCATATACAGTCTATTGAAGTGGCTGTGTCATGGGTCTTCTTCCAGCATGGTATTTTTGGAATCTTGGGTGAGCCTGTCGATATTTATGTCACCGATGAATATGAGGTTTTTCTTGTGTACTTCTCGTAGTTCTAGCGTGTCTGATAGGAGGTCAAGGGCAATTCTTGCATTTTCGATTGGTGGTCTATAGATTCCCACCAATTGAAAATGCAAGAATTGCCCTTGACCTCCTATCAGACACGCTAGAACTACGAGAAGTACACAAGAAAAACGTCATACTCATTGGTGACATAAATATCTTTGTATAGTTCACCAAGTGAGTTTCAAACTTATGATTCAGTTAATGAGTATTATAATGAAATAGCTCTGAATAACAGACAACTTCCATCTACCGCTAACTCCGCCCCCATATATTAAAATACCGACATCTAGACTTTGGGTACCGGCTCGGTATCGCATACCGTCGTCCACACCACCAGTTCTAAACTCTTTCCAATCAATCAATTACCACCACCGTCATGCACCTTTCTTACCTTTTCATATTCCTTACATTTTTTGTCCTCCTCCATCCTCATCACACACTCCCATCAAAATCTTTCCCGGCACTCATTTTCATTGTCTAAGTCTCATCACTATCTATGACGCCTCACTCTCTTTGACATATGCTTTTAACCTTGACCAATCCAACTCACATTTTGACTTCCCTAATACCTTTCCACAATGCCCATTCCGTTTCAACAACGCCTAGAACCAGCTTGTGGCGGCGCTCAAGATGAAGACCACCTCATGGACCACCTGGATCGAGATCATGCCTACGCAGAACAGGAGTAGTATGTGAACAACCACCGGCAGAAGAGGAAAGTGGACTTCCTTCATTGGTGCTGTTCCACTGCCACTGATTCTGAACTTCACATCCTGACGTCTACTGAAGAAACAGTAAATAATCACCGACCTCTTAATCCAACAAATTAATTGGTTCTTTTACTATGTTCTTGGATACTTAAATCAATACCACTTTTGTAGTTTTGTTACATCTACATTAAGTTTCTTTATTGTTACTATTACTAATTGTTGTTTGAATTTTAATTTCATTAGCCTACACAGGTTCTTTTTAATGGACATGGGGACCATATGAAGTTAGGCAGGGGAGATGTGACGGTAGTCACTATTTTCAAAATCATTTTCCTGGGTTCATATTGTAAAGTAAAAAATCTGGTATTTGGATTTCACAATTCAAATACCAGTGTTGGGTTAATTGGCACATAGAGTACAACGTTTTTGATGACCTCCCACCTACTTAGTCGATCTGACCATTGAATTTGGTGGACTCAGCGATTGCAACACAGAGGATTGAGGTTGAGCTTTTGAACCGAAAGGTGACACACTCGTCCACAGTCCATCTGTGGGGACAATCGTGGAGTCCACCGAATTCAATGGTCAGATCGACTAAGTAGGTGGGCATGTCATCAAAAACTTTGTACTCTATGTGCCAATTAACCCAACACTGGTATTTGAATTGTGAAATCCAAATACCAGGTTTTTTACTTTACGCTCTACTTCACTTGAATGATCCTTATATAAATAAATATAGAAATATTACTCAACAGTGCGGGAACACGAATAAATAAAACAGACACTAACTCCAGAGCTTCAATCTCAACTACGATTCAACTTGCAGTTATGTTGAAATTCTTAGCAAGTGGTGCATACTACAGAGATGCAGGCATTGCTCTGATAGGCACTGCTCAAAACACTGCAAATATCACACTCCAAAGTACTGGTGTAGAAAAACATCCTGCAAACAAATTATGAACATTCGAGAAACAACAAATCTTCTAGTGTGGATGAGGTTTGACAAGGGTGTTTAAGTATCAAAGCCGACTCACCATGTTGACAGCAGAAGAGTCTAATGGGAGGAGAGAGACTGTACAGGAAAGCCTCTGGTTTCGGACACTCAAGCTCTTCTACCTTTATATTCTTTTGTCCTGCAACAGAAAATAAAGATATCATTGTAAATACACTACTTAATACAATAAAGGATGATTAAGGAGAGGACAAGCTGGGATTCGTTGAAACCAGCCCAACCACGTGCCGCACCGTGGTGGGGGGGGGGGGAAGACATTGTGTTCAGAAACATTCATAATAACATTTTTAAGGCTATCGAACCAGCAACTGAACACACCAACCAATTGGGATATTTCACTATAGGAATTTCATCATCCAAATTGAATTTTTTAACCCTAACTTAATAAGCTTGTTTAAAAACTGTAAAAATGAAAAAAGTTAATACGGTTCTTTTTTTAATACTACGATTAAATATTGGTAAATATATTGTTTTTATTTTGAGAAACTCTTACGGAACAGGAATAAATTGATTATTTGTATAGATTCATCAAATTTATTTGAAAATTGTAATTAAAGTAATCGTGTTCAAAGTCCAAGACTTTGATCGTCAATAGTAAATTTTAAATAATTTTATAGAAATGATTTACACCACTCATTAGTAAATTTTATTTACTTTGAGAATGCCAACGGTGAATAACACAGGTGTTTTAGTTTAGCGGCAATTTTAATTTGAAACAGCGTGCGTCGCGATTTCCCTATCGCTCCCATGTTATAGCTCGGCTTTTTGCCACTCTACGGCTCCGCGTGCCTCTCTAGTGTTCTGCTAAAGCTGGCTTCACTGTAACATGTACATATATTCCTATTCGTGTGCCCTCTCCTTAATGTTTAATTCTCCTAGGCCTGTCCTACTTAACCAGTATTTACAATTTAGGTGTAAATTAAAATATAAAGGACACATATATATATATAAACAATGTGAACGAATCGTGTTTTTGGCAACTGGTGAAGTCAAAACAAAAAAAGTGAATCCGTCCCGGGTCAAGGTCTTACCATTAAAGCCATGGTAACGGCTTTATCTAACAAGTAATCCTTCAAACCTTTGAGAAATTTGTTATAAACAATATTGTTATAGTGTCCAGACAAAATAACCTCTGGGTAAAAATAATACAAATAAGCTAAACTTACAGTCAGAAGTTTTATTTACAAGAAAATCACCAACAGTATAAACACTAAACCACCATGAAAACATCATCACTCAGTTAAGTCGCTTTGTTTGAAACGTCACTCTGCCAAACAGCTGTTCAAACCTAGTCTGTCTGACTACACCACTATTTGTATAGCCATCTGTGAAAATAACGCCTTTATTGAGTACTAGCAGTTGCCCGGCGCGCATTGCTGCGCTTATTTTAAATGGTAATTTGTTCTTTACGATGAATAATAAAAGTGTATAACAAATAAAAATAGAATATTTTACTTAATTGCCAGTGGATAAACAATGTTTTTTTTCATTAGGTGAATAAATATACAAGTTTTTAGGACACAAAGGAAATTGTAGTTGCTTAAATTCAGAGGGTAATTCAGATGAAATCATCAGTGTTCTTGGGATTAAGACTATTTCTTCTTTAAACTTACCACTGATAATTTTTGCTTCAATCAATTTTTGTATCATTTTTTTAATCGTCAGTCTGGTAACGTTGCACAGCTTCGGTGGATTTAAGTTTCGCATTATAGCCCACCCAGTCAATGAATGCAAGAAAACACCCTTTTTTGCAACTAAATGGTGGAAAGCTGGATTTTTTATATGTGATAGATGAGAGGTGTATTTTCCCAAAAGTCCCCACTTCTACCCCTTGAGCTTTTCCCCCCAACCCTCTCCAAAACCTAGAAATTGCAGTGTTTCACTTAATTGATCATAAGTTTAATACTTTGTAAGCTATAGAGTTGCAATTTGTTTTGTTTTATTTATGATTAAGTTTTCTACAACTTTTGTATTTAGAATATTTTTCTAAAACCAGTACTTAGGGAGACATAAAATTTAAACCTAGTAAAAGCTTTGTTTCAGAGTGCACAATTTCGTTTTTCTCTACATATTTCTTTAAATAGCAATAATACGCAAATATGGTTCACACAAAATTTTTAGTACAATTTTTGAGGTTTACAAATATAATATCAGTTAGTCATCTAGGTGAACTGGTGAAGAGCTGGGCGTCGGCGAAGTGAGCGCGTGCAGTCTTCTTAAAGCATCTGTGCAGCCCCACCTGTCGATGCATCGCGCCCCAGTCCTAGTCCTAAGAACCGGCACCGCTAAGTTCTCGACTGTTTGATACTAATCCTAAGACTTCCTACTTTGTAGCCTACTTTAATACCACAACAATCTGTTTCCAAGCTAAACCGTGACTAAATTAAGCACCTCGCGATCAGTAAAAAGTTTTCGTCGACCCACTAATCCTTGATACTGATTTGTTTCCGAGGTTAATACAGTGATAATTAATAAGGTATTTATTGTGTTAACATATTATAATTCAACTACAATACTCCTTGTTTACAAACACTCTCCAATATAACATAAGATTTAAATAATCATATGATTTATATTAAAGACAGATCAAGAGACCAGCACAGATACAAACTGCGTCCTGTCATTGATATGTCCCTCTCTTCACCCTTCCTGCTAACAAGGGTTAGCTTTCTGCTCTGCCATGAGTTGTATACCTGTGTTAAATTATATTACGAACAACGTAGAAAACTGTCGGTAGTATTTATAAGCCATTTTTAATCACGGTAAGAAATACATATTAAAACTAACTGTTTTATTAAGTCCACATAGCGGACATTTAAAAACACTTAATAATAAGCGCATTCTTTTTTAATAGCGATGTTAAACGTTTGCATTATGTCTACCACAAACCAATAAATAACTAACTATTATGCTGACTCATTTTTAAGATAACATGAAAACAATCAAATATTAGAGAACAGAACGTCACCAAGATTCGCAGTATAGAGTCTCTAAAAATGATTGATCTTGACCACGAATTAGTGCCGTAAAGCAGATTTGTAATACATTGATGCCAATTTAACGAAGAAAAAAAAACACAATTTGATTGACACATCTGCACAATATGTTAAGAAAGGAAATTTGCATAATCTGCCTGTATCCTGGAAATAGTCTTGCCTGCATGTATGGGAACCAAATAGTTTTTTAATGACTGATTAAATTGTTATAACTTATAACAATTAATTGTTAAATTGTTATAACGCCTTATTACGTTAATTAATTGGAAAGTAAATCAAAGAAAATACGTCTAATAACACTTAAACATAAATTTATACTTGCAACGTTAACTCACAGGACAGTATATATAAATAAATAAAAATGTCTTTATTTAGCAAGCGTTCCTCAATACATACTGCTTTACAGGATAACTCTTGTCAATTTAATTACTAATCTATATTATAAATACGCAAGCAGTTTTCTTTTCACAGTCATAACTCAATAACGGTTTGATGGATTTTAAAGTTTGAGGTGTCAAATTAAAGGTATTTTCACGTACATGTGCAAATACGTCTCAGAATATTTAGAAAGGGCACCACTTAAGTACACTTAAGGGCTAAAGTTTGGAAGGCGGCGCTATCTGTTGATTTTTGATCAAACTCATTTCCCTTTGTTTACAAATAACATATGGACGTAGTTTGAAATAGTTTTTAAGGTTAACCACAGACTGCAGGACTTAAAACTTCCAGAGCAAAGCTGGAATTTATATTTTGTTTCAATATGTGAACTAAGTCTGGTTCATAAATAATGAGTTTCCTAGCAAGACCTGAAAACATTGTTTGTAATAGTTGAATTTATTTAACTTACATCGTATTTTATTGAATTATCATGCAGTTTTGGTTACAGTTCGGTATGATTAAGTGAATGTTTAAAAGTGATTATTCACAGTGCAGTTACCCGTTACATATTATCACGTAATTTACAATGTGTATCGAAATTCCTTTGTAGTGTTTTCTGTTGATTGGTTAACTTTCGTATTTGATCTAAATTTAAAATAAACGGTATCAGCATTCTGACACATACTTTCTCCCATAAGTTTGTCAAAAACCTTTATCATGTGTAAGTTGTGAGAGTAAATAACTGTATACGCAAATGAGATTTGTACAATTTTGTTCAGAATTTAAAGGATTATAACATGCTAAATTTTTATAAAAATCGTTCGGGCCATTTTTGGGAAAATCCGATTTTTCTGTTATTTTAAGGGGGTTTTATGGTAAAATGACATAATTTACAATAACTTTTGAACCGTAATATTTACAGAAATGGGATTTGTACCATTTTGTTCAGAATATAAAGGACTATAACATACTAAATTTTTATCAAAATCGTTTTGGGCCATTTTTGGGAAAATCATATTTTTTCGTTATTTTATGGGGTTTTATGGAAAAATACCCATTAAAAATTAAAATTTCCAAAAAATAAAAAAAAAACTATTAAAACTGTAAGGAGTATAACATGCTATGTTAAATCAAAACCGGATGTTTTTCTAAAATCCTATTTTTTGTTATTTTATGGGGTTTTTATGGGAAAATAACATATTTGACCATAACTTTTGAACAGTAATTTTTACAGATATGGGATTTGTAACATTTTATTCAGAATTTAAAGGGCTACAACATACTAAATTTTTATGAAAATCGTTCGGGCCATTTTCGAGAAAATCCGTTTTTTCCGGTTTTTTATGGGTTTTTATGGAAAAATTCCCATTAAAAATCCAAATTTCAAAAAAATGAAAAAAACGCCTGGAGATACCATGGATTAGAACCTACATACCAAATTTCATCGAAATCGGACCACAGGTGTGGTCTCTAGCCCTGTACACACCCAGACACACACATACGCGTTTGGCAACCAATGTGAGCTCCATGGTATTACACAGTAATGTGAGCTCCGGTAGAAGGAGAGGTTATTTAAAGAAAATATATGTCACTTTTTTAAAAGATGTCTTGTACTTAACTGTGGACACTTAAAACTCAAGGTTTGATTAAAATTCACAACTTGGATTTTGTAATGCAATGTGAGCTCCGGTATGTAAGTCGACCTGAGCTCCGGAAGTGTGTATGGTCAATGTGAGCTCCGGCAGTG